TAAGGTAGAGTTAATTTTCTTCCTAGAAGTTGGTATGGTGCTGTGTTTTGGATCTAGTATGAGAATAATGTTGATAACAAACTGATGTTTTAGTTGTTGCTGAGCAGTGCTTACACTAAGTCAAAGACTTTTTGGCTTCTCATACTGCCCTCCAGATAGGAGACTGGGGGTGCACCAGAAGCTGGGAGGGGACACAGCCAGGACAGCTGACCAAAACAGTCAAAGGGATATTCCACACAATATGATATCATGCTAAACATTTAAGAGGGGGTGATTGGCTAGGGTGGGCTGGAGGGGCAATCAGCTGCTCAGGGACATGCTGGGTATCAGTCAGCAGGTGGTAAGCAATTGCATTGTGCATCACTTGCTTTGTACATATTATTATTATCATTGTTATTATTATTATTATTATTATTATTATTATTATTATTATTATTATTATATTATTATTATTATTATTATACTTCCTTTTCTTCCCTATTAAACTGTCTGTATTTTAACCCATGAGCTTTTTTTCCCTGTGATTCTCTCCCCTATTCCACCAGAACACAGTGAATGGCTGTGTGGTGCTTAGGTTCCTGATCGGTTAAATCACAACATCTCCAAAGATGAAGGTTTCATGGCCTTTCTAAGTGCCGCACCATCCTAATGGTAAAATTATGAAGTTCAATCAGAATTTTCCTGTGTTCTAACTTGATTCAGTCTCCTCCTCTCCAGGCTGTACAAAATCCATTTCTCTCTGCCTCTCCTTATACTGCAGGAGCCTCTGCTCTAGTCATCATGGTGGTCTGCTCATTTCAGTTTGACAGTGACTTTCTTGTACTGGGGAGCTTTAAGCTGAGCACAGTACTCTGGATACTCTTCACACTCAGCTCATTGCTTACCAGGTCCTTTAAGTCTTGCAAAAGTCTTTGCAAGTCTCTGCAGAGGTACTCCATCTCCAGACAGGACTCAGCCTAAGCAGTTATGTGCAGTTAATCCATACTAGTTGCAGAAGTTTGCCTTTGTGGAACTTTAGGAGGTGTCTATCAGCCCATTTTTCCAGGGTGTCAAGGTTGGCCTGCAGAGGCTCTGCTCTACTGAATGTCAGTCACTCTTCCTGCTGCTCTCCACCCCATATGCTGTTTGGCACCATCCCCAAAATATGCTGAGAGTGCACTCTATCTCAACATCTGCATATTTAAAAAAGCAATTTAACAGTGTTTAGCCTCAGTACTGTTCCCTGAAGAACACCACTAGTAACTGCCCATAAGTTGGACTTTATATTACTGACCTCAGTCCTTTGAACCCAACAGCCCATTTTTAATGTATCTTATAGCCAATATACCCAAACCATGTCTCTCTAGCTGTAAGGACAGAGTAGGTGAATATGTCACAATTAAAGTCAAGGCAAACAACATTCACAACTCTTCCTCATCCACAGAGGCAGTCATTTCTTTGTAGAAGGTTATCATGTTGTTTAGACACAAACTTCCTTTAGTAACTCTGTGCTGAATTCTCTTAATTGTTTCTTTTCCTTCAGGTACTTGCACATAGCTTTCAGGAGAATTTTTTACATTATCTTTCTGAGGACTGAGATACGGCTGACCACTTCTGGTTTTCTGGATCTTCTTTCTTGATTTTCTTGAAGTTGAAGTTAAGGATTTCTTGGTATATTTTAAATATACAAATGTATGCTTTAAAGAGCAAAGACTTCTTTACACTATGCATGTAAGCCGTGTTAAATAAATAAATATTTTATATTTTCAGGCTGCAGTGAGACAGGCAAATTTTATCTATGTGAGAAAAGTTGTCTTTCTTAGTCCTGGTCCACAGCTATTTCAAATATATGCTTGCTAATAAGTGGTTGTAGAATAACGTATAAATACTCTGACAGAATCCATTCTGAAGACATGAAATAATTAATACATTAGAAAGCATTAGTCAAATCAATTTAACCTCTCCAACTGGCTGAGTTTCAATTTAATGCAAAGTATAAAATCCCCTCCAACATAATTAGTCACCTTTAATTACTTTGATATCAGAATGCAAATGGAAAAATAAAAAGCTAAATAATTAAGCTAATTAGTGTACACTTTGTATTACATTAGTATAATAAAACAATATGTTTGTATGGTTAATATGAAATTTTTTATTGATTTTTTTAGTTATATGTACAAATATGTTTGTGTTTATATACAGATTATTATTATTATTATTATTATTATTATTATTAATAATAATAATAATAATAATAATAATAATAATAATAATTTTATTTTTAAATCTAGCTCAGTCAACTCTGTATTACAACTTGTGATTTAGCCCCAGCAGGCAGCTAAGTACCACATGATTCCATATATAAAATTTGAAGGGGTATCATGGAACAAAGTGTTCATTAGCCCACCTCAGTGACTGAAGGAGGAACAGAAGAGATGGAGCTGGTAACTGTCAAAATAAACAAATATGAAGTTATAAACACCAATTTTTTTTAAAACATTATTTCTTCAGAAGCAGAATATTATATAAGCTGAATTATATATACTGAGTAAATATATTTGTAAATATATTATGCATACTGAGTATAATGCTGAGTTATGTATTTTTTTTTCCTGCAATATATCTGTTTGGAATTAGCAGATGTTAAAAACAATGGTCTGCTACATTTAGTCAAAAATGTAGAAATTACTTCTGTAGCACATAGTGTACAAGATGTGCTGGTAACAGAGGAGAGTGCTGTGTAAAACCTAGAGGGTATTATGGTGGTTTCTATTTAATTTTTGCTTCTTTATTGATGTCTCAATCCTTAATTGAAACAACTGTATACTGAAACATTGCATGTAATTTTCAAGCTGTTTGTGATTCATAATTAATAATATTGTGGAACAAAAATTATAATTTAATATCTCAAACACCAGCTAATGCAACCATAATCCTCTGAGAAGATCTACAAACTGCTAAAGCTGATTCTATCATTAAAATTACCTGTGGACCCCTAAAATATTCAAAAAATTAGTTACATACTCTGGGGGTCATAGTGAATCATGGAGATATACATTTCCTGTGTTTCATAACAAAACTTTGAGCTATTATTATTCTGCAGCAACTATTTACATTTTTTAAAGACTCTTATAATCCAAATGTTTTCCACAGACATACACATATATATTTTTATATAGCCATGCATATGATAATTTTTTACTCTGTCATATTTCTGGAGATACTTATTGGTATTTAAAATACATTATAAAATTACAGTTATGATGAAACAAGCATTTCTGGAAAGTTGAGAAAAAATATAAATTTTAAATAGAACACATATATTTAAACTTTCCATCCAGGACATTAAGAGATCACAAGATGAGTAATTTATTTATTTACTTACTTAATTTACTTGAAACAGTATCTATTTGTATATTGTTAAAAATATTAGATAACATTTGTCGTCATTGTCCTATTTAATTTGTAATTATGCAAATGTAAAATTATCTGGTATGTCGATTGTCATCATTCACCAGGTGACTGTACATTTAGGACTCCATATTCCTACAGACTGTTCAAGGGTCCTGATTCTCTGGGTTACCTTGCAGACAAGGAAGCTTATGTAGTCCTTGCTTTGCAGTTTGTGGACAGAGCTGACAGATGCACTGTCCTAGAGAAACCCTTCCATACCATGAGTCACATGCACAAAACCTGTTTCGGATGCAGGGGAAGTTTAAACCTGGAGTGTTGTAACTGGAACATTTTAAGTTCAACAAGAAAGCATTTTCTGATGAAACTTTCCTAAAAAGAAAATCTGTCAGAAAGTTGCCTATTAGATCTCTTTCTGCTTATTTATTCTGATGTCGTTCTTACACTTTCAGGGCAGTATGCTAGCATTTTCACTGCTTTTTGACATTCATGAAGCAAGGTAGTGATTCCATGCAATACCCAGAGGATTATACATATTCTGACTACCAGCTGCTTGGGGTATCATTGCAAGGCAAAGATTATACTTTAGCTCAATATTTCTGGAGATTAATGTTACTATATTATTTTTCACTTTAACCTTAGCTCTGAATTTCACAGTTTGCAAAGCTTGTTTTGAGGCATATTGCAACACTGTTGCAATATTTCTAAGCCAAAATTTTAAGTACATTCTCCAGGATCTAATTCCCGGAGTATTTTCAAGTTTTGAAATTATGTGAACCACAATATATAGTAATGTGGTAGATTTTCACCTCTTCAGAAAGTAGGTCAATTCCAAAATTATGTTTCAAGTGGAAATAAACAAGGATTTATGCAATTAATGTTTATTATAAGATCTTCACATGAATCACTACCATTAGATATTATTTTTTTTTGAACAAAAAGAATAGCAAGAGTTTGAAAGTCAGGCAATTAAATCAAATGGAAGAGAATGTGGTGGAATTTGTATAGCCCTTCCCAATCATTTGAGACTTTTATTGTTTAGTGTCATAAAATATACGGTATACTTCAAAATTTTACATAACTTTTATATAAAGACACAATGCAAAATAGTACATTTAAAATATGCAACTTCTTTACCTCTGTTAACAGGGCCATTTTAACAGGGCCATTCTTTTTTTTTTTTTTTTTTAAAAAAAAAAGGTAGTAATATTTAAACAAATTTTAAATAGTTGTACACAAGTAAAAGCAGCTATGGTCTTAGTAGTTCACATAAAACTTTTTATTATGGTTTTAATGTCCACAGATGTAATTGCAACAGACATTCTGGTGACTCCTAAGATAGTGGAAAAAACAAATCTGATTTTTATAATAAAGAAACTTGAAAACCTAATGCAAGTATTCCTAAAACAATCATGAGTTTTATTATTGATGTTATCAACTAAGTAGAATTGTCATATAATTTCAACACGGAGTAAGTTTGTTCATTACAGAAATAAGGGATGTTGTAGGCTACATACATATAAAATATGTAGAGAGCTATTGCCATTATAATGGTCTTAGCTATAGTTTGTTTTTTTCTAAAAAGTTTTTTTTTTTTTCCATAAATATAGTATGATTCCTGTCACAGAGCATGCTGCCGTTACAAATACAGTAAGAAAGGCCCACTAAACCTTCTCCAGGTAGGTATTCTCATGCTCAGTTAACTGCCTACCAGTAATAATTTCAATGCTTGTCTTTACTGACTGATTACATCATTCTCTGGAGAATTAATTTATTGATTCATTGATGTTTTATTTAATAATGAAATTACTTTTCATCCCGCTTAACTGATTCGCTGCTTTGTTGATTGTCCACTTATTGAATTTATTTGTTTAGCTAATTATTAATCCTTAAACTTTGCCTGTTTAATACCACTCCATTGCCTGTGTATTTTAATTATAATGAGTTTTGCAACCTAATTGACTCTGTACCTACATGATTTTCTCACTTAATTAATTGTGTTTATACAATTAATTGGTTGATTTATCCACCTCTATTTAATCACTGAATAATTGTATCTTTTGCTGGCACTGAGTTACGTAATGATTTGGTAGCCATAGTCACATACTACCAATATTTGTCCAGAGCAGACCATGTCTCCTTCGTCTTCCTTACATTTTTACCTATCACTACCTCCTCTACCTTTAATGTCCTCACTGTTTCTTTTTTTTCTTCTTTGTTTGTTTTTTATTTTATTCAAATTAAATACATATTGATCTTTAACATTATCAAAATTTCTGTTTATTAATGTAAATTTAAAAAATATAAATTAAAATTATTCCTCCCAGGGACAAGCATGACTACAGAGGATAAGAAAAAGGCTGAGGTTCTTATTGCCTTCTTTGTATCTGTCTTTACCTGCCAGACCGTTTATCCTTGGGGTACTCAGCCTCCTGACCTGGAAGTCTGGGACAACCAGGGGATCAGGCCCAGTCAGCATGGGTTCATGAAAGGTAAGTCCTGCCTGACCAACTTCATCTCCTTCTATTACTGGGTGACCCCTTTGGTGGATGAGGTGAAGGCTGTTGACGTACATGTAGTCTACCTACACATCATCATGGTTGTTGACACGGTCTCCCACAGTATTCTCCTGAAGAAGCTGGCAGACCATGGCTTGGACAGGTACACCCTTTTCTGGGTTAAAAAACAGGCTGGATGGCTGGGCCCAGATAGTAGCGGTGAACTGAGTGAAATCCATCTGGCGACCAGTCACCAGTGGTGTTCCCCAAGGGTTGGTATTGGGGCCTATCCTCTGTAGTATCTTTACTGATGACTTGGATGTGGGAGTTGATTGCACCCTCAGTAAGTTTGCAGATGACATCAAGTTGGGGGAAAGTGTTAATTTTCTGGAGGGTAAGAAGGCCCTTCAGAGGGACCTGGACAGGATGGGTCAATGGGCAGAGGCCAACGGGATCAGGTTCAACATGGCTAAGTGCCAGGTCCCACATTTTGGCCACAACCCCATGCAGCGCTACAGGCTTGGGGCAGAGTGGTTTGAAAGCTGTGCAGAGGAAAAGGAATTTGGGGGTGCTGGTTGATGCTTGCCTGAACATGAGCCAGCAGTGTGCCCAGGTGACCAAGAAGGCCAAAGGCATGCTGGTTTGTATCAGGAATTTTGCAGCCAGCAGGACCAGGGAGGTGATCATCACCCTGTATTCTGCTCTGGTGAGGCTGCACCTCTGTGTACTGTGTTCAGCTTTGGGATCCTCACTGCAAGGAGGACATCGAGGCCCTGGAACCTGTCCAGAGAAGAGCTACAAAGATGGTGAAGGACCTGGAACACAAGTCCTATGGGGATATCTGAGGGCACTGGGGTTGTTTAGTCTGGAGAAGAGGAGGCTCAGGGGAGACCTGAATACTCTCTACAAGTACCTGAAAGGAAGTTATGGGGAGCTGGGTGTTGGCTTCTTGCAGATAACTAGTGGTAGGTAGAAGGAATGTCCACATAACTAGGTAGAAGGAATGTCCACAAGTTACACCAGAAGAGGTTTAAATTGGAAATTAGGAGGCATTTCTACTCAGAAAGAGTAGTCAGGCATTGTAACAGGTTGCCCAGGGAACTGGTGGAGTCACCGTTCCTGGGGGTATTCAAGGAAAATCTGGACCTGGTGCTTATGGACATGGTTTGGTGGGTGATATTGGTGGTAGGATGATGGTTGGACCAGATGATCCTGAAGGTCTTTTCCAACCTTCATGATTGTATGAATCTATGATTCTATGATATCACATATATTGAAATATCTAGTCTTATACGGACTCCCCATAGCAATGCTTTTGAAGCTAACTTACATGATTCCACAAGCATTTTACAGGCACATAGACTATTGAATCTATAACTGAATATGCAGAAATTTGAAAAATAAGTTCAAAATTGTTACCATTATTTTTCTCTGACAAGCTGAAAGGATACTGAAGATGGAATTCTGGGATTAAAATATGATACTAATCAAAATATCATGAAAAATTTTGATGAATTAATAAAATACATGTTAAATCTGCAGGTGAAAGTAAATCCATGTAGGTCTAGTGGCAGACAGGACTAGACTTCATAATTATATATATATTGGAAAAATAATATATAAAATATAATTAGAAAAAGATTCAGTTTCTTACACTTTTACAAATACATGCAAGATGGAGGATAATTAACCTAACAGTTTTGCAAAGAATTATATGCAGATCATAACAAACTTAATGGTTCAGTATGAGATCACAGTACCTTGCTGTTATGAAGAAGACAAACAAGATGCTAAGATATACAGAATGATCCTTTATTTGTAAAACATGCAAAATAATCTTAAAACACCGATCTTCACAAGTAAAGAAGGAACTGGAGTATTGTGACTGTGGTGTACTGTTCAAGGTGTTGTCTTTCCAAGAAGATTTAGAATACATGAGAAAAGCTATGGCATACCTATAGGTTATAAATAGGTTTAAGGAAAGCTTGAAGTACTTAAACTTATTAAGCCTAGTGAGAGTGAATTGAGGCTTTTTAGTTTTAGGTCGTAAGTTGTTCTTCATGTACTCAACTGATAGTTCAAGAAAGTATGGCCTTAAATTGTAGACAGAGAAACTTAGATTAGATATGAGAAAAAGCTTTCAAACTATCATTGAAAGTTGGGTGATTCCTTAGGCTGAGTAGAAAATTCAAATAGCCAGATGTGGTTATGTGTGTTGATAATGTCACTGTATTTCATAGTCTTATTTAAATATATATATATATTTTTCCATTCATGTTAGAAATTCAGGGAAAAGCATGCTCTTCCACTTTAATTCTGGAGTATTAACCAAATAAATACATCTCTGATCTGGGGTTCAGTTTAGTGGAAGTCAAAATTTAGGCTCACTAACTCACTGAGCAAGTTGTCACTATTAAATGAAAACTGGGAATTAAAATGAGATTCCAATGGCAAAAACTGGGACATTTCTTTATCTCAAGAAATACCTGTCACTCATTAATGTATTCTTCATTCATTCAAGTGAAATAATTAAAACCTACATTTCATTTCCAATTTCATCAGGATTACCAGTTTTTATGTTTGAGAATATTTAGAGCCAATATGTTCTGTAAAACATTTGTTTACAAGCCAAAAGCTGAAGTGCTTACTATTTTCAGATGACAACAAAAATACTATCATCTTTTGAAGAAAATAGTATAGCAGAAGAAATTTGGGTAATAAACAAATGTGTTTTAATCTTAAGATTAAGCATATATGGACAATATATTTTGAATGTTTCACAAACTTACTTTACATGTATTTTTTAGACTTGCCTTTCCTAGCTGTAATTCTAGTAGAATCAATAAAGCTTCATATTTGACACAAGTGTAGAAAATAAATGACAGTTCAAGGTTCTAGAGTTTATGAAAGAAAAGGGCTAGTTTTTGTGTCCCTGCTTCATGCCAGTCCTATACCAAATCTAGTGTCACAGAGTCTGTGAGTCCAAATGGACTCTCGGAAAGCATTAGAACAGATACAATATCATAAAATAAATTTAGGGGAAATATAAATATGTACCTGCATTTTCCTATCTAGCAATATTCCTCCCAGTACCTGCATGCAAACACATTAAATACACTTATTTCTTGTTAATCCTTAAGAACTTGTAACTTGCATTTGAACACTGCTGAAATCTTTGCTCATAAAGTAGAAAACTTTCATGATTCCTTTATAACTGCTTAAAAATCACTAAGTGGTTTGAATGCAGACTGTGAATCCATGCAAGCTCATATGGAGTTTTGGTTCTTTATAGATAGCAGAAAGTGTTGTCAGATCACGAGATGGAAACAGCCGGTGGAGTTTTTAGTACACAGAGACCTGAGATAAAAACAAAACACAGTATTGTCATTTTATAAGAGCTTTAATCATGCATAACAGTTTGTTCTAATGAATATGTATGAGACACTGATGAACATGAATGATTGATATCTATGATTCACAGAGTGAAGAAGCTTATCTATATGCAGATTAAGTACCTCATAGAAAACTATTCTTCCTCTTCTCCCTCCCATTTTGGCGAACTTCCTGCACCACTGAATGTCAAAACTTGGATGTTTCCTACAATAACATCTTTATACTCATAAGAACAGATCTTGTCAATTCTCTTCAAATAAAACTTAAATTTGAGATTTCTCAGAACATTTTGGAAGCTTATATAATGGCTGCAATGCAGACCATTATTTTAAATTATTGAGGAAATGTAATATCTGTTTAAAAAAGAAAAAAAAAAGTCTAACTAGGTTATCTTTCATAGTAATGCTGATATATTTAACAGAGCTAATATTAGAACTTGAATGTTAAAACATTCTGAATTCATTATATTAGTTATGATAGTAATACAATGATACCAATAGGTTCAAAACTATTTGTTGAAGATACACTGTCTTGGAGGAATTAAGCTTTTCTCATTGCAGTCTGATATTTCTCTTATACCGTACTGGTCCATAAAAAATATAAACACTGCCTCCTGAAATTAAACTCGATTTTGTATGCTTTTATATAGCATGGATTTCTAATGATCAAAACATAAATAAAATATTGGAATAAATGAAATAATGAGATCTGTTCGTAGTTTGTATGTGATTTAAATCTTTAGTTTCCTATCACACAATTTCTATGTCTAACTTAAAATATGCCATACTCCATATGTTATTTTATGTTGCAATAAAAAATGAGAAGTCAACTGAAATCTTAAATTCATGTATTTTCATTGCATTTAATACACTATACAGAAGCAATTTGAGAGGTAATAGTGAAAAATATTCCACAATATCGCACTTTCAATTGGGAATGGAAGATAGATTAAATTTTAACTCAGTAATGCTGGACTTGACCTATTTAGATTTTTCATAGTTCCTGAGAGCAGGAAAAGGAAAACAAATAGTTGGTATACAATGAATCCATGCACAAATAATATATGTTTATGTAAAACTTAATTATATTTTTCTTTATTTATAGTTTTAAAGGTTAATGAAGCAAAACTTTGTTTTTCTACTGCATGTCATATTTTAAATATTTAGATTTTTTTTATAAAAAAAGTAGCAGCTTTTACTCTCAGTAAAAGAAAATGCAAAGGATATGATCTATAGGTGAATAGAAAATCCTAGTTACTATTTTATTGTGCAAGAACAATACTTCTTACTTATTTTTAGCCAGTATTCATGTAAACATTTCCATTATTCCAGCACTCTGCATGTCTACTGAATCTCTAAAATTACTTCAGAAAAAGTCTCAAATGAAAAGTATCCATGAGAACCTTATCCATATTCCATGTTCTTGTGTCACTTGGTTACCCAAAAACTACAAACAAAATCTTTTCCGAGTCCTTTAGATGAGATGAAAATTAGAATAACTTGTGCTTATGATTGATCCAAGCAGAAAAACTACTACAAAATATCTGATGGTGTTTTCAGACTGAGAAATATAGCGAGGTACCCACACATACATATACACATACATATAAAGAAAATATACATGTAACAGCACAACTGTTTCAGGGAAGGAAGGTTTTTACAAAAAAGTAATTGCTTTTATTAAAAATACTATTATAGTTGGAAAGCATATAAATCTTTTCAGACATACCAGATCTTCTCTTCTGAAACTGAAACCAAAAACAAACAAACAAACCTCCTAAAACTAAATACAAGAGCAACTTTTCTGACCTTAATTGGATATATAATTGTTAGACCACAGAAAAAAAGGGATTTGGTATCTAAGGCATATATGAAAGTTGATATGAGTTTAGAATGAAGGCAGTGAAGGGTGATAGGAACTTTCTCTGGGAAGAGAGATGTGATCTCTAGGTTGTGAGTCATGAGTAGTGGGAGTAAAATATATTCTGTGATAAATTCATAGCTTTACATAGTCAATATTCTTTGGTGGGTGAGCTTTAGTTACAAAGTTTGCCCTTGTAATAGGTTTTTAGGTCTTTCTTGATTATCACATATGACAGATGATGGATGGTGTAACTCACTGTTTGGCAAGATGTGTTTCCAACTGGACAGGCTGTTATGTGTCTTTATCTATTCTCAGTTTGTGTTCATATGTGATCCTTAAAAATTGTATCTGTATTTTCCATGAGAGAACTTAGTGTTTGGATATAGTATATACAATCTGAACAGCAAAGAACTGTGGGACCCTGGGGTTGAAATATTTCTCAATTTCACCACAAAAATAATATAATAACAAAAACAAACAAACAGAAAAAAAAAAAGAACAGAAGTTCATGGTCTGAACTTTTGGGTAGACCTGTGCAGTGTCAAGAGTTGGACTTGATGATCCTTAAGGGTCCCTTCCAACTCAGGATATTCTATGATTCTATGATTCTTTTTCAACCTATTTTAATTTGGTGCTAGAATTATTTTAATGGTGATGTATATGTGCTCTTACTACAGACAGGTAACTCAGGGGAAAAAAGGAAAAAAAAGTATTCCTTCCTGAGTAATGGTTGGACTTGATGATCAGAGATGATCTGTGCTAGGTCAAAGGCTGGACTAGATGATCTGAGGAGTCTTTTCCAACCCAAATGATTATATCATTCTATTATTCTATGAATTAAAAGATTTCAAATCTCTTTTTTTTTTTTTTTTTAAAGAAGATTTTCAACTTCTATTTTTTTTGAAATATAAGATTTGGTATGGATTCCATCATTGTAATATAAGAAAATCATGAAAAGGCAAAAAATAAAAGACAAATCCAGCAGAACCAAGACATGGGTTGATCTATAGTATAAGACATAAGTATCTAATTCCAGGCCAATCTATTTTTTTGTTTGTTTGTTTTTATGCACATGTTTAAATATTGTCTGTTTATTCTAGTGTTAGTCAAAAACTATAGAAGTCAGGGTGCTTCTGAAACTTCTGGAGCAGGACTTCTAGTATTTTGTTGATTTGATTTTAGGGTGAATTGATATTCTGGGTGTGCACCATCTTCCTTACCTGAAATGCCAATCTGCTTTCTGAGAAAAGATAAAGGAAACCTGAAGGTTGGAAGAGAACCATGACGTGATTCAGTATATCTTCTTCTGCAGAACTACAAAAGAACTTAAGATAGATATTCAGGAAAAAGTTGCTCTGTATAACAGGTTCCTTTTAGCATGTGTATGATATAATGAAAAAATCACCCGAACGCTATACTCTCGATATTCTCTATTAGACACTCTTCATAGGAAAAAAATGTAACATAGGTATAATACTAATATTATGTAATCATATAAAAATATTTATTTTTTTAAATAAAAGTTATTTTAAAAACTAATTAAGAACCTTATTCTTTGTCTCTCTCTCTCTCTTTCTCTCTCTCTCTATATATATAAAAAAAGGAAATTCAAAGCTACGAGGAATATATCATAGAAATAAAAAGAAAAAGACCTAACTCTAAGTGATTAATCTTTTAGTATTTATGTCAGCAAGATTTTTTTATATGTATCTGAATATGGGTACTTTTATGATCACAGTTTGCCATCAGAATGACTCATATGGGGCATCATTTTCTAAAACAGATTGTCTTTAAGGCTGCTGATGGCAAATTAGGCCATAAAGACCAGTACACTTGTACAGAATTGAAATAGTAAATCAGATTTTGCTTGAAGAGGCAAGTCATTGCAACATTTGCATGTATTTTCTTAGTAGAATTTTTAAAATACTAATTTGCTTGGAGACTTCTAAACTTAAATCAAGCATTACCTTTTTTTTTTTTTTTTCCCATAGAGAATATAGTGTTGAAATTTTGCATGTATTCAGTGAAAATCTAAGCTAATATGTGCATGCAGTGATATCAAAATGAGAAATTAAAAATGTCATTAAAAATTAAGACAGACTCCTCTAGAGCAATTGCTTGGCAGCTTGTATTTCATTAAATACTAAACCTGTGCTCTTTCTATTGAAAGTCAATTTGCTTTTGTAATTTTGCATCCACTTTCCCCTATTACAGCCTTCATAAAAGAGTTTAAAATATACTAGATTATACATATATATTATTCAGGATGGAAATTGAATGCAAAATGAAATCTTCAGTGAGGTGATTAAGTGTGAGAAACAAGTTTAAAAGCTTATTCAGGATTTTTTGTCCAAGTTAGCTCTTAGAAAATGTTTGCATAACGCTTGACCACAGTGAGAATTACAATAACAACAAAGTCCAGAAATATTTAGTAAAATCATTATTCTTCTGACTACAGTAGTTTTATTTTATTATATAATTTTCTTAATACCTCCAATTATACCACCATTTTGTCATCTAATAAAGAGTAATCAACAATAATCATCCATCTTTCATATCACTTTATATCACTTAAATTGCCTAATTCTATAATAAACTTGTCATTTGTGATTGAGGCAGCATAATATATTTCTGTGTCAAAAGCTAGATATATTAGGTGTTAATGAAACTGTATGAATCATAATGATATAATGTAATTTACTCGGTAAAATCATGAAAGAATTTTAAATTAAAAAAAAAAAAAAAAGAGCTATCAATATTTTTCCATCAAATAAATTGGAAATATATGTATTTTAATGGGACAGAACATTCATGAACTTAATGATCGCTTGTGGGGAAATTCACTTCTCTGTTGAAGTCCAGGTCTTGGATGCTAAATGCAATTAACATTAACCGCGTATTGAATTGTCTGGATGGTTGAATTTGAATAGTTGTGGTCAATGGTTCAATGTCCAGCTGGAGATCAGTGACAAGCGATATTTCTAAGGTATCACAATGGGGACATCTATTATTTATCATCATTGTTAGTTACATGGACAGTGGGATTGTCATCAAGTTTGTGGACAACACTAAACTGTGTGGAGTGGCTGATAGGTTGAAGGGAAGGGATGCCATTCAGAGGGAGCTGGACAGGCTTGGGAGGTGGGTGCATGTGAACCTCAAGAAGTTCAGCAAGGCCAAGTGCAAGGTCCTGCACATGGGTCAGGGCAATCCCAAACACGAATACAGGCTGGGCAATGAGTAGATAAAGAACAGTACTGCAGAGAAGGACTTTGGGATGAAAAACTGAACATAAGCTGGCAAAGTGTGCTTGCAGCCCAGAAAGCCAATTGCATTCTGGGCTGCATTAAAAGAACCATAGCTAGCAGTGCAAGAGAGTTGATTCTACTCATTTACTCTGCCCTTGTGAGACCCCACTTGGAATACTGCGTTAGGCTCTGGGACCCCGAACATAAGAAAGACATCGTTATAGCGAGTCCAGAAGAAGTTCATGAAGATGATCAAAGGGCTGTAGCACCTCTCCAATGAAGAAACGCTGAGAGAGTTGGAACAGAAGGCTCCAGGGAGACTTTATAATGTCCTTCTAGTATAAGAAAGATAGAGAGGGGCTCCCGCCTCTCCTCTCCTCTCCTCTCCTCTCCTCTCCTCTCCTCTCCTCTCCTCTCCTCTCCTCTCCTCTCCTCTCCTCTCCTCTCCTCTCCTCTCCTCTCCTCTCCTCTCCTCTCCTCTCCTCTCCTCTCCTCTCCTCTCCTCTCCTCTCCTCTCCTCTCCTCTCCTCTCCTCTCCTCTCCTCTCCTCTCCTCTCCTCTCCTCTCCTCTCCTCTCCTCTCCTCTCCTCTCCTCTCCTCTCCTCTCCTCTCCTCTCCTCTCCTCTCCTCTCCTCTCCTCTCCTCTCCTCTCCTCTCCTTCTCTATCTGTAAGGTCTTTTTCAACTCAAACCACTCTATGATTTTATAGCTACAGTGAGGGGAACAACATATAATTTATTTTTTATTTTTCTATTTTATTTTATGAGAAAAGTTATACTGCTTTGGATGAAATTAACACAAGTATATGAATATGAAGTGTGAATAGTAGGTCTTAAAAAACTTAAAAGACCTTTTCTCCACACCAAGCTTCCAAGACATATACATTTAAAACTTTGATGAGTAATAAATATATATATTCAGGCTAATATCTTCAATGATAAAGGATTAAATATATATATATATTTCTTCTGTTTTCCATCTCAGTGAGGAGCATAAAGCCAGTAGAATAATTTCCCTAACATGTCATCATACTTTCATAACAATAATCTATATTAAATTTTCCTTAGACAGTTAGTTTGAAAATTAATGGGATTAGTATTGAAACATCAGGAAGATACTGTCACCAATGGTACTAAAATAGTAGAGCTTTCAGTTAGATGTCCTTGATATGCTTCAGTGAACATATTTCATTTTAATATTGGCTTTTAAATCAACCTCCAAGTACATCTCATGATAATAAAGAAGGTTATAAATTAATTTGCATAATAAAACAATAATCTTGGTGCTCATTCAGAATTGTGGTGCATATTTTAATACCATTATACCTGTTGATTTAAAGCTTACCATTTTTTATTCTTTCTAAACTGATCAGCTGCCTAAACTGATATGAAAATTTAAGAGCAGAGTGTTATTTTGCCAAGATTTTAATAGCCTGACCTGTTTTACAAAGAAGTTATTGGTGACTTTAAGTGGGATATGGTGTTATGACTCTGAGAAGGCTTTTTATAATTATATATATATGAGCAACAATTAGATGAATAGTGTATATATGACACGTACTTTAAATACCTAAAGCTATTCAATAGAATTGAAACTCTTTTTTCTTATTTTTCAATGCATTCTTAATCTTCCAAAAGATTAATAAAACTACCCAGCTGAAAAAAAAAACTTTAATCTGAAAAGCTTATTTACTTTTTGGCACTTCTTATCTGTAATATTTCTCATGATAAAGCTCATGAATTACATAATAAATTTATAAATTGCTTTATGAAGCATATTTAACTCTGACCTTTTCTTTGACAAATCTAAAATAACAGTCACAAAAAAAAATATACACTATCATAAAAGATGCCTCTTTCTACAAACCCTTACTTTGATTATACATGTATTCTTTTTTTCCATTGCAGCTATTTGATCACTATTACTGTTTTAAAGATGTGTTATTCTCAATAGGCTCAAAAGAATGCAACTCCCTTCTCCTTTTTAAAAGTCAAACTAGTTTGGCAGCTGTTTCAGAAGAAATAGAGTTCCAAAAACAGATGTTAAATTTCTGCACAGATATCCTCACATAGCCTTGGGAGCACTGTACAAATTGATCTGTAAATCCAAAATACCTGTATCCTTAAATGAAACCACTGACTTCTATTTGTTGAGGGTATAACAAAACAGATGAGGATATAGAACTTAGGGATATGGTTTAGTGGGGACTGTTAGTGTTAGGTCAGAGGTTGGACTCGATGATCTTGAGGTCTCTTCCAACCTAGAGATTCTGTGATTCTGTGATATGATTGCTCAATCACTGTTTTCATGTTAGACAGAGAGTTCTGTTTTCTCATCCCAAATCAGAAACTAACGTCTGCAGTGTAAAGTTTGAAGTTGAAAAAGAGAGACACACCATCTGTGGTTTGAAATAACCTGTCTGGCTTTATACCCAAGTGTAGGACAAGCTTTCACAGAACTGGTAGAAGCAATGGTTTATTGTACTACTTTTCATAATCTGTCCCCCCAGTATATAAGCAAAGTCAGGTATAGCAGGCATACATATATAATATACAATTAAAAATCAGGTTCCTAGGTCATGAACAGGTATTCACAACTGAAGACTCAAAGAGGAAATGTGGAAATGTTTTGGAAACATGTTGATTTCCAACGTCATGCTGATTATATGGGAATTGGAAGCTAATGTAAGGCTGAACGTCTCCTACAACCTTCATCCTTCCTTTTTTCCAATGAGTTGAAGTCTGAAGTCACAAATCAGAGGGTAATACAGAACAGGTTGATGACTAACAAGCAGCAAATTAGGACACACATATAGACTAAGCATGAAGAAAAGAGAAAGTCTCAATCTTGTTTCATGGGAGAAGCATTAAAGAAGACAGGCAGCTACTTACAATTTTTTGTAGCACTATAAGCTAGTTCCAGCTTGCACTTGCTGCAGTTTTTATTAGAAGATGCTGAAGGTGTCATAACTTCCAGTTGGCAAAAGATGAATTTCAGTAGTTAAGAGAGACAGAACACTCTAGGCATAATAAATAACAGTCTGTGAGATATTATCATTGTAAGAAATTATTACAGAGTCCTATTCTCTTTTCATCAAAACTGAATATCCCGTTGAGGTGATCTTTAATTGGAATTTGAATGACCAAAAGGTTTTCTCTGGAAAAAACATATGCCTTCTAGGAAATGGGGTGCAGATTCATGTTGCACTGATTCCAGAGTAAAGACAACTTGAGGAGCATTACCTTCCTTATTTGCCTACAGCTTCTGTCACCTCCCTTCCCGTTATT